CAGTCTACCGTATGTAGAGTTCTGTAGGGTTTGTGCCTTACGACGTTGGCGATCGCATTTGGTGACAAGGCCCACCCTGATGCCCGCGTTGCTGTTGTCGTTGTCTTCACATGACAGTATGTGGAGGGTTCTTTGTTTTTGGCTGAAAAAGGTACCTTCAGCAGGGTACATTCTGTGGTGCGTGGCCAATCGGTTTTGGAGCTCTGGGGGGCGACGGTGATTCACACAGGGGGGTGATCCTCAGCTCGAAAAAAAAACTCGCCTACTGCTCCTCTGAATTAGTTCGTTTTCTTTGAGGCAACTCAACAGCACGTGATGGGTGAAGAGACTAGCAGGGAAGGCACAGACCCAGATATTGTACCCTTGGGATCTCACCTCCAAATGTCCTCTACCTACCTGCTGCTCTACTATTGTTGTTGCACCACGGCATAAAGCACTACACACCAGGACTACATACAACAGCGGCACTAGACACCTTGTGCGGACAGAACAGCATGCAACGTATCTCATCTATTTCGGTGTTCTCGGCGGGTGGAGAGACCAGCCTCCTCGTTATGTGTATGTCTATCTCATGCATGTATGCTCTGCTGATGATCCGTCTCTCCCGCGTAACGCAACTATCCGCGGCCGACCTACACACGAAACATGTATGTGGACCCACACACCCTGCCGCTGCTCTCCTCGCTTGCACCGTTAGCTAGCAGTATTGTATTACGGTATAGGTCAAACCGTCCCGCCTCTCTTTCACTGGCATATCGCTGCCCCCTCATCCGTCTCTCTCTCCCTCCAACATTCGTCCACAGTATTATCATCATCGGCAAGCCACGTGAAGAATGACGCCTCTCTCTGTTTCGGGCCGATGCATGTGCTTCCCGACAATATGTTCGGCAGACATGCCCTGCGATCTCGACGCATTGAGAACGGATTGAGCGAGAAGCGTTTGTTACAGCACGGGAAAATGTTCTACCTGTTGGGCACAACTATTGGCTTGTAGTCCTTCATTATACACTCACACACGCGCTCACAACCCACAGACATCTTTCAGCGTTTTTAACGTACCCCAACACCAACTGTTGTTTTTCCATGCACACACCTATGAGACATATTCCGAGGTTGTCTCGACGGTGATTTTATTTCTACAAAATATCCACCTCAAGTGTGTTTTTGCGATGGATGGGCCTGAAAATCAGCCTGTGAATAAGGTTTGTCCAACCGGATAAGCAAGAGTTGATAAGAGCTAACGGTGCCTCCAAAGCGCTAACCTCGGGTTGACCCTTGTGCCACCTAGACTAAATGTTCCTGTAGTTTAGATCGCCTCTTCAGGAGGATGCCCGGTGGTGGTAGGAGCGGCAGAAAGGTTTCAGATGAGAAGGAGGCCGGGAAACAACCCAGACGGTAGTAAGGGAGATGTTTTGGCCGCGGTGATGAATGACAACCTGTGTCATACGCAATCAGCTGGTTCTGTCGTGTGCCACCTACATGACGTCTTTGCAAATCCGTGTCATGTTGCACACAGGCTCGATGTCATCTGCAGGATTGGCAACCGAGGCAGGTGATTTTGCTGGGGCAGCCAAGGTGAGCGTCGCGTTCCACTGCGAACGATGGGCTGTCGAGCCTAGTCGGAGACAATGCACAGCCGGAACAATGGTTGTGTTTCTTAGGCGTTTCGAAACTAGATTCGTACCGTGACGTAGAAATTCCCTGTCCGCTCACTGCCATCTGGAAAACTGTGGCAACTCGTTGTTCTACCTACTTGCTCTGCTTGCATACAACCTGGTGACCGTGTTGTGTTGGATGGCGTTATCAGGTCACTTACGAGATAGAAGACATCCATGTGAAGGAAGAGGAGCAGCAGGAGCAGGAGCAAGATGATGGGCAACAAGAGCGGGTGAGGCTAGCGTTAGCAATGCCAGAGATACTTTAATGTCGCACCAAACTACTAGCGGCGGAGAGTGTGAATTTACCCAATCTTCGACCCTCATTGAAAGTGGCCACTCTTCTCGACGCAATCATGAGCAACGTTGTGGACAGAGTGAATCCATCCGTTTCAAGCCAACACACGTCATGGCAAAGTCTCCCTCAGATACTTCGATCTGTGGGTGCGTGTGTTGGGGGATGATCGTACTGTAGTATCCATGTTTTTATCTTCTGTGCCATTTCCGCATCTGCAAGCGGTGTTAGTATACCCACCTTTGCCGTGGTCAGGTACTGCGGAAGAGGGATTGTTCTCGATGTTCATGTGGGTTGCATCGGTCCTGTGTGTAGCCCCAGAATCGTCTTTTGGAGATGGTGCTTGGGGCACCAACGAGACCCAGTATTTGCGGTGTTTGTGTGACTCTCTCCAGGAAAGGTCAGGCAAGCGCAAGCCCGGGAGTATGGCCAAGGCCCTCCGCCGGCACAGTGCCTGGACAGTTAGCAGCCGGCAGTCCAACCACGCTGAGAGGTGAAAGTCAGTACTGCGAGATACAGGTGTTTGGTAGAAGCTACCGCATGAGATGCGGGAATCACCCGCGGATGATGGTGACCCTCAAGGGTTAGAGTTCTCGCTTGGCTTAATCATGCAAAGCGGTAATAATCCGTTTCCCGGTATCTTCCACCCAAGATCTTCTTCCCCGCTTGTTGGCAAGGCCTCCGCGCAGAGTCGATTTTGAACAGTATCTTTGACAGCCTACACAGCCACCTAACAACATGGAAGGGGCGTTACGCCCGCCTAGCGTCGAGACTTTAGTACCTACGGTCAGATTATTTGAGGGAAACCGCGAATCTCTCTCAGGGGGCAACAAACTGCCGACGTCTCGGGACACGATGTTAAACACGCTCCACGTCATCTCGCATCACTGTAGTGGTTTGTGGATGACAGCACACACACATTCACTGGCACGCAAACCAAAGCCTGTCTCTGCTGTACGAACCCAGTACCTCCGATTTGGTGATGTTGTTGGGGGTGGTGCCCGTACTCCTCCGTGTGGGATAGATTTTGTGTATCACAAACACCGTGCCTCGGATTTCGGTTGCCATCATTTGTTCGGAGCTCGACGATTCATGTATCGATATCCTTGGATCAGAAGACGATTTGTGGGGAGAAACTGACAGATGGAGGGAGTATCTAAGAACGCGCCGGAACGATTGCAGACAGAGCTAGCCGCGGCAAGGTGTACACCCCTGACGTTATGAAACGGCAAGGGGGGAATGGGCGTCGATCAATGCGTTAGTCTCTTTCACGCTGATTGCAACCATGTACCCGACTGAGTCGCTTTATGACCGTGCAGACCCACCCTGCTGGGTCCTATTGTTTCCCGGAGGCCAATGTCAATCCTTCACCCGTCCGTCCGAAGACAAGGGCTAATGAAGGCAATATCTTCCTTCAAAAACGCCAGCCGTTCGTAGACTTTCTGAATCCCTCTCTATCGCTCGCGGGAAAAATAGTCATGGACGCTTCAGACTTACCCATCGTCCACCCCTGGGCGGGTCTAACCCTGGGTACCTGCAATCTCGGGATCGATGATCATCTCGACCTAAGCACCCTGTCACCGTATTCCTCTAGCTTCGAGTTGTCCCTGGAAATTCTACGCTTTGATCGTGGCAGCTCGGAGCTCTACTCGTTTGCGAATATCGCGGAAACCTGAAGATGGCCGGTGCTGAATCCGCCACAGTCTCGTGTAGTCTGTTCAAACGTTTTCCAGTGAGCGAAATCGAGGGGCGACTTCGCCCAGTGCCCTGACCCATGGTGGCAGCGCTGGATTGGAATTATACTAAATACCAGTTCATGAAGTTCTAACCCCTCCCCGGTGTTTGGTTACGTCTCGCCTGGGTATCTATCCGGCTTGATTGGCAGCCCCACACGATTGTCGTCCAAACGCCAACGGAAGGCTTCCGCACCAGGAACGGCGGGCGGTGGGACGGCGGCAACACGCAAGACGGTGAGTGCGGTGGAAGGTTTGTTCCTGTCGCGTTTCTTTATATCATGATTTTGCGCCTGGCCAGTAAATGCCCTGTTTAAGATTCTTTGCCGCGTCATTCACTGTTGGCCTGCGTTCCGACCAGGGGATGATTTGTGTTCAGTTGGTGGTGGTGTGGGCTCGGGAAGATTGCTGTCGGCACCCGATCAGTGGTGCACAGCTGGCGGAATCAAGCACTGGCGAAAGTGCTTTTCAGTCTTCAGACTCCGCTATGCTATGAAGAGGGAAAATCGTCAATCCTTGCAACTCTAGGGAGTCTATGTCTGTGTCGGCTGACGCGTGATTCCGACGGTCCCTACAACTCCTTCTGGAGAGTCTTGTGTTTGAACGTGCATGTGGAACGAAAAGGGCAATGCACCCGTACTTTTATCGCGTTGTGTTATACTGCTGGTAGCCGGGAGGCCATTCAAGGGTGTTCTGAGTTGAGTTGAGTATTAGAGGCGAGGTCTTTCAAACTCATGAGACAGTCTTTCCAATATATGATGTGCGCGGCGGAGGACATCGGTTTGAAACCAAAAGGTCTGAGGTACAATATTGTGGGAGGAGAACGCGCTTGGAGCACCAACTGCGCGACACACTCAGCCGTGTAGTCAAAGGCTTCGTCAATGGCGTTCTCGCGTCAGAGGCAACCAATTCATTATAGCGCGGAACTGTCTCCCATGAGGTGGAAAAATGGAGAGCATGAACGTGTCGAAAAGCGCAGGGCAGATGGTGTTAGCAGTGGAACATCAACGACTTCCTCTACCCCGGCAACAAGCACGGGGTGATGTATGAACAATCTAGGATTGCGGCATGGCGATCGTTTGAGCGGTGTGTGTGATAAGCTCATTGCATTGTCTCTCGCTGCTGCCCGATGTCACTCGCGTATTTGCTGAGAGATAGACTTGTCATTTCCTCTGGAATGTGGGTTCCGCTCCATCCTTTTTGCAATCGTACGTTTAGCCGTCATCGCGTCAGACCGCCAGATATTATGGCCAAGGGCAACAATGCTGCCGTGAGCCCGGCTGTACAACACGGCCATCATATGGCGAAACCGACATCATGGAGGCGGAGTTCTGCTCTCAGCACTCCAAAGCAGGAATGATCCGTGTGTTCGGTAAGAAATGCGACCATCCCGGGTGCATCAAGCAACCGTCATACGGTAAAGCCGACAGCAACAAGGCGGAGTTCTGTGCCCAACACGCGCAGCACGGCATGGTCCACCTTCATGCTAAGAAGTGCGGTCATCCAGGGTGCACGAAGGGGCCGTCATATGGCAAAGCCGGCAGCAAGAAGGCGGAGTTCTGCTCCCAGCACAGCGAACGAGGTATGATAAACGTGAGAAGCAGGAGGTGCGGACATTCCGGGTGCACGAAGCATCCGACGTATGGAAAAGACGGAACCAAGAAGCCGGAGTTCTGTGCCCAGCACGCCAAGTCAGGGATGACGAACGTGAAAGCCAAGAGGTGCGGCCATCCAGGGTGCTCGAAGCAGGCGGTGTATGGAAAGGCCGGCAGCAAGAAGGGGGAGTTCTGCTCTCAGCACAGGGAGCGAGGAATTATCAATGTGCGGCATGCGTAATGCCAGGAGTAGCGCTAAGACGTATTTCCGCATGTGTGGTCTCGTACCGTTGCGAAAGGTCGTTGTGTGGGTAGCGGTCCATTGTGATTGACCGTGCTACGTGTGCGCTGGTACATGGCTCCCTGGGCAAAGAGATTCTTCGCGGATGTTGCTGTAGTGTGAATGTCCGGTCAGCCTTGATGAGTATTTTCTTTCACGTGCCTGGTGTGTAAGTGCATGTAGCACGACGATGCTTGTCGGTTTTTGTTTTGTAGGCTTGTACACACCATGCACGGAATGTTCCACAATGGCGTACCTGGAATCATTCTTGGGGCGTGATTCGGGGACAGGGACACTCTTGCAACTCGGGCCTAGTCGGAATGCAAGTTTTGTAAGGTTGAGGCGATGTGTTCAATATCCGGTCGAAATCATATACCGGAGGGGCAAAGGAGGCAGGAGCACGCCCATTACAGTCGTGCTTACAGAATATTCAAGACTATCAACAGCACAGCCAGCAGAATTGACGTTTGTCATTGCAGTGGTGACGCCGGAAGCATTTTCGGTTCGAGGAAGTCGTACTGCATGCCATCGTGCGACAATGCTAAGGAAGCTCCGGTTGCCTGTGTCGCGGCGGAACCATCGTGGGGTGAAACGTGCGAAAAATGGATCAGCTCTGCATTCAAATGTTCCCTGTCGAAGATGTTGTGTACTCACCCGCTAACCTGGTGCACCGTAGTCCGGATTGGTGGTGTTGTGATCTGTTGGTGCGGGTGGTTAAAGTGTGGTCATGATTGTGAGAATATGACGGATCGGGCCCATGTCCCCCGACGTGCCTGGGGGCCAGAAAGTGATACAGATGAAGGAATGCAGCTGACAATGGTGCTGGGGAAGCAGTGATGGGTCGTGCCACTAAGGGTGCGCACGAAACCAACTTCATCGCCTGTTGCAATTTGTAGCGTGCGCCTAACTCACCTATTTGTTTGTAGCCCGAGCGTGTTACCAACCCATTTGTTTTTGTTATCACTGTAGAACTGCAGTTTGTGAAGTGCCGTTGTATGAGCTGTGTTACGGCGAGCCACGTCGAAAGAACTGCTGGCTTGGTGTGCAGGCGCGTAGGATCGACGTTGGTGGTCCACGGCGAAGTGACAGCATTCCAGCTGTTCTCGTGCTAAGTTTCGGCGGCCACGAGGGAGGGCAAATAGTTTCATTTTGGGATATTTTGAGATGGGGAAGCCTGTTGATGTGAGTTTCAAGTCCTGCCCAAGTCCAGTAGCAGTGCTAACCAAAATGTTTGGAGGTCAATTCAGCGTGGGGCATGTGCAGAATCCATTCGCTTTCTCATTCGTTGACAACAACGGATACCATTGGTGTCATTGTGTGGATCAAGCGCTCAGCACATTGCGGTGCTCGTCCTATCTTTCATACGCGAAGTAGTTCGTAACTGAGCGCGGAAAGATTGTGGAGAAAATATGTAAATTGGTTGTCAGGAGAACATGTGTTTGAGGCAATCGGCACATCGGAAGAAGAAAAGCTTTGGGTTCTTGACAGGGGCCCCAGTGCCTTTTTAAATCTACTACGTTTGCGTCAGACGCGGCATACATGTTGACGACGGATGAGAAGCGGTCGGTGAGCATCAAAATGTAGGAGGTGCTGCGAGGAAATAACGGAAGAGGTCTCAAGTAAGCGACCCGGATCACCGCGCCGTCAAAATAGGACAAGCCCCGACGCCACCCGACCGTCACAGTGGCGTTGAACGAATAAATCACACACATGATAGCAGCACCAATGCTTTCCGTGGTTGCCGTCGAACGACAAGGCGATATTGACCTTCACCTGCCCCATGTTGAAATGGCCTGCACATGTGTCGGGCAGTTCTGCCACTGGAATCGGGCCGGACTAAAACACACATGAACAGACAGGCTTCCCCACCTCCCAATACCCTAAGTTTACAATATCTGTGCTCCCTCGCGGCAACCAAACGTTAGCACGCGACCAGGTGGAATTCTGAAACTTCGCCGTGGACCGCCAACGTCGATCCTGCGAACCTGTACACCAAGCCAACATTATCTTAAAAAGTAAAATCCGGGCGGCAAACGATGTCCAATTCGGGGCGAACATGGACGGACGGAGACGTCTGCGCTGAGATGTTGAAATGTACATACAGTCGATCACTTTATTTCTCCTTACCGTAAATACGAGAAAATGCCGCGTGGGCAAGGGCGTGGGAGGTATTGTTTTTTTAGACCGCTGCTGCTAGAGTGTGATGAGGAATTCGCTTGACTCCTCGGATCATTACATATTCATGGCCACGCCGACCACAGTTTGCACGGCAGTGCATCAGTGGAACCGCGGGCCTCAGAGCCGGAGCTCTTACCCAAAATCTGAATTCCTCTAAGAGACCGATATGGTCTCTAGAGGTCTCACAGAACGGAAAAAAATGATCACTCTCAGAAGGTCCGAACCACGCACGTTATTGAGCAAGTTTCAGCTTGATTGGTGCCTTCTGCGTTGACGGTTGGCTGTATCGGTGACCAGCACTCTCAAGCACGAAACACGAGCATGCAGCATGTGCTGCCGACACCAAATTGCTCCGATCTCGATCGATTTGTGCGTAGACGTTGGCTATCCTCCACCAAATATAAGCCCAGTCCAATCTACAGCTCGATTGGCAAGTCCTTCGACGCTGGAATAGCTGTGTGCCTACCAATGTGCCTGCCAACGAGAGGTTCTGGCCACACCGCGGCGACCTCCCAACGAGGAAGTATGTTCCCCGCAAAACGAAGGTTTCAAATTATTTTACGCGCGCGCGTAAAATGTTGCCGAACAAATACATCACCAATCCATTGTAGGTTATCCTGATCTCGACACGTGTACCCCGCCATAGACTGTTCGCTGCGTTTCGAGGTAAACATTGTTCTTGTACATACGCGGGAGCAAAGAGGGATGCAACAGCGACTTGTGCGGGCGCGCTTGTGTATCTACCTCCCCGAACAGTCTTGCACGCTGTATACATGCGAAGACATCGTATACACGCGATCAATCAGTCCAAGACATGCGGGTTGTCGCAGCTGTTGTTCTCCTATTTCTAACCTCTTGTTCCACCGATCGCGCACACGCAAGTATGTTCTGCCGATTTTGCCCGCACACCAACAACAACTTGATGATTGATGACTCTCTCGTTTCTCATTGGAACACGTTCATCCATGCATCCATTGTGCAATAACTCCAATCTCCACCAATTCGCGCGTGCGTAAGTTGCCTCCCTCCCCGCGATTACCCTGCCATCGACAGGGTCGCGGAAGCTTCTTCGCCGCAAAACGACGGTTTCAAATTATTATTGTAGGCATACGCGCGCGCGCAAAATGCAGTGGATGCGGTTCTCGTCGGAACGACACGTCACGTGTGTGTGCCCCGCGATAGACTATTCGCCGCGTTTCGAAGGAAACATTATTTGTTCTTGTGTACAAGGGGTCAGGCGGCTTTCGCCGCCCCGCTCAATAGATCGATTCCAAGATACGCGATAAGTGGTACTCAACCTTCATTCGTGCCAGTACACGTGAAGTATTGAAAATGAGAATAAATATGGATCGGTGCAGAAAGAGGGCGTACTCGATTCGTGCCATACAGCAGTAATAGTAGTATCTGACGAACATCAAAATGAAGTAGCATTGGTGAACGGAGAGTGGTGGTAGTGCTGGCGGCTTTGGCCGCCCCGCTCAATAGACCTCGACCGACCTCACCACCAGAAGTGCGCCCGGCGTCTACTCGCTTGGTTCATCGTGTATCATCAACTTACTGAGTAGATATCCGAATGTATGCGTTGCAGCAGCAAGCTGTAGCACGGCACACAGAGTTCAAATGTCATGCGGAGCGCGGAGCTGATTGCTCGGCCAAACATACTTGATCGGCTGTGGTGTGCCAAACGTACGTCGTGAGCCACACCGGGCTCGACAGACCATCGTTTGCAGCTGCACGCGAGGCTCACCTTGGCTGTCACAGCAAAATCACCGGTCTCGGGTTTCAACCCTGCAGATGTCATCCAGCCTGTGTGCAATATGAAACGGGTAGCACCAAGCAAGGCATCGTCGTGGTTCCTAAGGTAATGGCGGTTTGGTGAAGAGGTCACCAAGACGACACGTTTAAGCCGGTTGATTGCATAGGGCAGAGGCTTCCATTTTTCACCAAGGGCTACACACCGTCACCGGTTGTTTCCCGGCCTCCTTGTCACCTGAAACCTTGCTACCGCTGTTGTCACCACTCCCAAGTCTCCTCATCGAGGCGATCAAAACAACAGGTACCATCATTGGTGCAAGGGTCAATCAGAGGGTAGCGCGTTTGGAGGCGCCGCCAGCGCTTGTCGACTCTCTTGGTAAACCCCCCGGACGAACCGTAGGGAGCAAATTTTGCAGGTCCGTCAGTCAGAAAAGCCCACATTTTAGCTTGAAAACATTAACAAAAGTGTGTAGAGGGATGTGCACAGAACAAACAAAAATCGGTGTTGAGTGGCATGAAAATGCGGGTCTGCGGGCGTATGTGCATGTGTGCATGCGTGCTTAAGGTAGGGGACTGGAGCCCACTTCACCAACTGGGCCCCAAATTACAACCCAATCCCAAGAGGTGGTGATTTCCCCGCGCAGAAACAACTGTTCCTCGCTGAATACGTCCTCAGTTCGTCTAGCCATCGAGGCATGTCTACCGAACTTGTTGTCGGGAAGCATGCGTCCCCCCGAAACTGAGCGAGGCATGGTATGGTTTGTCTCATTTGGCTCGGTGATGATTTGTAAGCTTGGATGTAGACTTATGTTGGAGGCGAAGAAGGCGGGCGAGGAGGCAGGGATATGCCAGGGAAAGGGAGGCGAAACAGTGTGACCTACGACATTGTACTGCTGTTAGCTAAATATGTGGGTACCTATACACATGTGCGTGGGTTGGTTGCGGCTGAATGTTGCGACAGACATACAGAGAGGGGGCTGGTCTCTGCATCTGCTGTGAACAAGGAGATAGGAGGTAGATGAGAGATG